TTTTTTTTAGTAAGATTTTTATGGTGCGAGATGAAAAGGAAAAGGCGATGATGCCTATTTATTCAATTGCTTGCTAGTCATATTCCTTCTAGTCATAGTCCGGACCGAGGGCTTGTATCTCCCAATCTTGTTTTTTTTTATATATTATTTTAGAAAAATAAAATTTTATACGCAATAATTAATTAATTCTTGGCATCCAAGGGACTCCTACACACGTCCACGCATACAAACAAGATTTATTTGTGGTCTATACTATTGCATTCATAATGAACGTGGTAATTAATTTTTTTTACTGATTATGTTTATACTGAAAATAATTAGATTATTAATCACGTTAAGAATAAAATTTAAACAAAAATTAAAGTAAAATAAAAATTTAAATAAAATAACATCATGCTTTGTAATATAAATTAAAGATGTTAGAATAATACATTGAGGTATCAATGTAAAATAAATAGAAAACAATGAGTTTTCTTAATGAAAGAAAAAATAAAAGTAGCTAAAATAGGAAAATAATATCTAATCTATATCTATATTTCTATATCTATATAAATATAAAAAGGTATGACATTTACCTATAATAGCAACTAAAAATCATTTGTTTAAAATTTCACAATTACTACTTATAGTAAAATTTTTGGCAAAAACTCAAAATATCCCGCCTCAAAAAAATTTGTTTGAATTTTTCTAAAACTTGGAAATAAAATTGTTCTAAATATGTCAATATTTATCTAATCAAATTTTGCCATATTTAAAATATATTTTCCTTTATGATTTAAATCCCTATATAAGTCCGTTAGCTTATTTCCTCTAAGATGTCGTCATCCGCGGCAAGAACGGCGGCAAGAAGATAGTCCTCCATAGCTCCAATGGCGAGGTCTTCGAGGTGGAAGAGTCGGTTGCCGTCGAGTCTCAGACGATCAAGCACACGATAGAGGATGAGTGCGACGACAACGTCATCCTGCTCCCCAACGTCACCGGCAACATCCTATCCAAGGTCATCGAGTACTGCAAGCGCAACGTGGACGCCGCCAGGGTTGAGGACAAGCTCCCCTCCACAGCCAACACGATGAATGATCTAGGAGACTTTTTAATGTATGTTATGGAGTTCCATTACTGTGTTGGAAATAATAGATAACAATAGAGAAAGAGACACACAACAACACTCAAATTATATTATTCAATATTCTCTTCTCAAAAACAATAATATAAAACACAAGGCTCAAACAAGTTTTTTGAAACTTTGTCCAAAAACTCTATTTCCTCCCTCTCTTAGAAATCATTAGGGAACACACAAAATTGAAATGGGTTTTGGGATTGATCAAATTTTTTCACTTTTCTTCATAAGATTCCACAAAGAAGAGAAGTATATATATAGGTGTCATTTGTCATGTGTGGTTACAAGTGTAAGATGATCTCTTTAATATTCACAACTCATCTTCATGAATGAAGAACCATTAAACTCAACATGAAACTTATGTTTAATTAGTCTAAACTAATTAAATCAATAAGTTTCAACTTTGTGAAACTTCATCTTTTTACATGCAATGAGATGAAACTTATCTTACATTCATGCATTGTGTAACTCAATTTACACTCATGCATGTAACGTATAAACTTCACCGAACACCTTAATTTGAATGTAATTCATCTCACTTTTATTTTAACCAAAATATAATAATTCCCTACTTGGTTAAAAATTAAAATAAAACCAACATTATAACCACCATAATGAATATGCATAAAATAAAGTATCTTTCGATTTGAACTTTATCTTAGTGTAATCATCACAAAGCCTCGTCAAAATTCCAGGTTGCTTGAAGCATTGAACCAGTTATTCCTTGTGACAAAACAGGTGACAACACACACATTTCACTATTAGGTGAGCACCTATCACTTTTTCTCGCTTAGCACTTATATGGCCATGTGCTCAATCCATTCATGAACTTTCTTGAGAGAAAACTCAAACTCTCATGAGAAGCAGCACTACTTCTGAGTTCACATAGGTGAAATTCTTTCAGCATTCTCGTTACTTAAAATACTTGTCACACGTAGACTGAATTTCATTAAAAGCTTTATGCTTAACCCTCTAACCGTAATGACCAACATTTTATATTTAATCTCAGATGGAACTCACAAATTTTAATGTTATTATAATTCATTTATCAACGACTTGTTTTTACCCATTGAACTTAAAACTAATCATTTATTAGTGTTAAGTTGGGTTGCCATCATTGGTGAATTTATTTATGGAGTTTTAGTCTCATCCCTCGAGATGTTGTTCTTACTAAATCTCTCGTCAGAGGTTTAGTAAAAGGATCTGCAAGATTCCCACCTGATCTTACAAATGAAATTGATATGATTCAATCTTGAATCAATTGTCTTACAAACTCATGTCTGAGACTAATATGTCTAGACTTCCCGTTATATACTCCACTATATGCACGGGCTAAAGTTGCTTCACTATCACAGTGTATTGACACAATTGATATATTATTTTTAGTAAAAGGGATATCCAACATGAGATCCCAAAGCCACTCTGCTTCTTTTCTTGTTGCAGCAAGAGCTATAAACTCTGCCTCCATGGTTGAATGTGATATACAAGTCTGTTTCTTTGATCCCCATAAAACAACTCCTCCTTCCAAGTAAACACCCAACCCGTGGTTGATATATTATCTCCCAGGCTCGATATCCATCTTGAATCTGATATCCTTCAAGTATAGCGGGAAACTTAGAATATTGGAAGTTGAGTTCTTTGGTATTTTTTTAATAGCCAAAAACTCTACTAATAGCTTTCCAATGTTCCACGCTTGGATTGCTACTAAACCTACTTTGTTTACTAACTGCAAATGAAATGTCAGCCCTAGTACAATGTGCAGCATACATTAGACTTCCAATTGCACTTGCATACTCAAGTTGAGCCACCGCTCTACCGTCATTCTTCTCAAGCTTTAAACTTGAATCAGACGGAGTATTAGTATTTTTTATCTTGAGATGGTTAAATTTGCTAATTATTTTCTCAATATAGTAGGTTTGGTTTAAAGAATAACCCCCACTATGTTTTTCACTTTAATACCCAAAATGGTATCAACTTCTCCAAGATCTTTCATCTTGAAGATTAATGATAGAAACCTCTTCGTTTCCATTATTCCTCTCATGTCATCACTTAATATTAACACGTCATCCACATATAAACACACTATGACTATATAGTCACCACAAGATTTAGAGTATAAACACTTGTCAGCGTTATTATGTCTAAATCCATATGAAATAATAGCATTATCAATTTTTTCATGCCATTGTTTAGGAGCTTGCTTTAAACCATATAATGATTTAACAAGCCTACACACTTTATGTTAATTTCCCGGTAGAACAAAACCTTCTGGTTGTTCCATATAGACCTCCTCATTGAGATATCCATTCAAGAATGTCGTTTTGACATCCATCTGGTGAACAAATAGATTATGAATTGATGAAAAAAAAAACAATATCCTAATCGAAGTTGTTCTTGACACTAGAGCATATGTATTGAAATAATCAATACCTTCTTTTTGTTTAAATCCTTTAGCTACTAATCTTGCTTTAAAGGTTTAATTAGTCCCATCGGTATTGTATTTTTTACGAAACACCCACTTGCAACCAATTGGTTTAGATCCTGGTGGAAGATCTACCAATTCCCATGTTTGATTAGATACAATAGAATCCATTTTATCATTGATCGCCTCTTTTAAAAAAGCGGCATCTCTCGAATCAATGGCTTCTTTGTATGTCTTGGGATCCTCCTCCACGTGAAGTATTATACGAATTTTCCTAACAATATCTTCTCTATTTCGCTCTACTAAATAAAAGGAAATTCTTTGAGAATCAATCTCATCCGATCCCAATAATTTTTCTTTTTTTGTCTTTGACTTTTTCTCATTGGCACCAAAGGGTTCTCAACAACCGTCGTTGGTCCATTCTCTTGAGACTCTTCAAGATTAGTAGATTCTTGAGAACTACTCAATAAATTCTCAAATGAATTGTACATCTTTTGATTCAATAATCACATTAGATTCCAAATCTAATAGCCTATAAGCTTTGCTATTTGTGGCATAGTCAACAAATGCACACTTTATGGCTCTTGAACCCAATTTTCTTTTGTTTACGTCCGTTTTCTTGCAATATGCAAGACACCCCCACACTTTGAAGTAACCTATATTAGGTTTTCTTCCTTTCCATAACTCATATGGAGATTTTTCAATCTTCTTCATAGGGATTCAATTCAAAATATGACACACAGTCAACAACGCTTCATAACTCGAAATTTAATTACCATGCAATAACATAGCACTCACCATTTCTAGAAATGTTCGATTCTTTCTCTCTGCTACACCATTATGTTGTGGTGTATATGGTGCTACATTCATGAATAATGCCATTTTTTTCACAAAATAAATTAAATTCATTTGAGAAATATTCACCACCTCTATCACTTCTCAAAATTTTAATCTTTTTACTAAGTTGATTTTCAACTTCGGCTTTGTAAACTTTAAAGGCATTAAAAGTTTCACTTTTGTTTTTCAATAAAAACACATTGGTAAATCTTGAACAATCATCAATGAATGTAACAAAATACTTATTCCCTCCTCTAGTTTTTACACCGTTAAGTTCACAAAGATCACTATGTATTAAATCAAACAAATTAGATGATCTGTCAACACTTTGAAAAGACTTTTTGATCATCTTAGATTCAACACATATTTCACATAAATTCATTTATATCACAATTAATTAAACCACTTTTGACAATTCTTTTTATAGTGTTTAAACCAACATTTGAAAGCCTATTATGCCAAAATTACTAAGAATTTGAGTCACACACATAAACAGAAGTAGATACATTTTTGTTCAAATTATTTTGAATACAAAGTTTTAACATCCCATCAGTAGAATAACATTTTTCAACAAAATTCCCCGATTTTGTTAATATTAGCTTACCAGATTCAAACACAGCTTTTATACCTGGTTTGCTAATTAAATCACCACCGACAAGATTTCTATTCATATCGGGAATATACAACACATTAATAAGTGTAATCTTTTTTCTCCGAAGTGAAAACAATCTCAATTGTGCCTTTCCCTAGCACCTTGGATTTTTTTTTTTTTTTCATTCCCTATTTGAATCTCTTGATCACCATTTGCATCTTCAAAGGTTTTGAAAAGAGATTTGTCATAGGTAACATGAACGGTGGCACCGGTATCATACTACCATCCTCGAACCTTCCCATGGACAACACATACATGGCTTAAAGTTGCAACGATCTCATCATCAATTGCATTCACTTCAGCCTCCTTTCGGTCCCTGCAATCTCTTACAAAATGTCAATATTTTCCACATACAAAACAAGAGCCTTTCTTGCTCTTGAACTTGTCATGTGTGATCTTTGGACCAAAAGAATTATTGAATTTTTTATTTTTATTTTTATCAACAAAGTGTTTTGGTTTTGAAACCATATTTGTTTTGCTAGTCCCACCATTAGACTACCATTGGACTCAGCAGCAATTTTATCTCTCAATCTCGATACTTCCTCAATACGAATATATTTTTGAATCTCCTCCAAGGAATAATCTTCTTTATTGTGGAGAATCCTTTTTCGGTACACCTTTCAACTTGAAGGTAGTTTAGACACAATGGCACCAACTTGAAAAGCCTCCGGAAGTTCGATTTTTAAATCTCTCAATTTATTCACAAGTATTTGCAACTCATGAATTTGAGGTAATAAAGGTTTTTCATCAAAAAATTTGAAATCGAAATATTGGGAGATTAGAAATTTTTTAGTACCTTCTTCTTTGGTTTTATATTTATTTTCTAAAGCCTCCCAAATTTTTTTAGCCGAATTATTGGTGCAGAGATCATATAACCCTATCAGACAAGACATTTAAAATATGACCTCGGCATATTAACTCATCTTCCTCTCTTTTCTTCCATGCAGCCACAGTTTCGAGCATATCGTTTTCATTTGTCTTTGGTAGATGAGACAAGGTAGTCGAGGATATAAAATATCTTGAGGGCCGTGAGAAGAAATGTCACCTTGTCTTGCCACCTTGTGAAATTCGAGCCATCAAACCTATCCAACTTCACAAGGTATTGGTTCATGATTTTGATCGTCTCCGTCTCCATGCAGATAGAGTTTATGATTGTTGGAAATAATCAAATAATAGATAACAATAAAGAAAGAGACAATCAACAACACCCAAATTATATTATTCAATATTCTCTTCTCAAGAACAATAATATAAAACACAAGGCTCAAACAAGTTCTTTGGAACTTTGTCCAAAAACTCTATTTCCTCCCTCTCTTGTAAATCTTTAGGGAACACACAAAATGGAAATGGGTTTTGGGATTGATCAAGTCTTCTCACTTTTCTTCATAAGATTCCACAAAGACGAGAAGTATATATATAAGTGTCATTTGTCATGTGTGGTTACAAGTGTAAGATGATCTCTTTAACAAGCCTACACACTTTATGTTAATTTCCCGGTAGAACAAAACCTTCTGGTTGTTCCATATTGTAATATCCCGACTTTTTATCAGTATAAATAATATTTTAGTTCCGGTATTATTTTTCGGAATTGATTATTTTCAGTTATTTCAGTCGGAATTACCGAAAAATATTTTCGACGTACCGTTTACGTTCGGAATAATTTTGGTAATTGAGTGTTATGCTTAATTATTTGATTAAGCCTTAATTATGATTAATAGTAAATTAATCATCATTAGCATTGTTAAATGCCGTGCGGTTCTTATGCATGGTAGTGGAGCATCTTTGCTATTCCAAGTCATGCTAAACTCATGTGCATAGCCGTGCATGTTCA